TGCTATATAATAGAAGTGACTAACCATTCTTGATTTGAGTGATGGATGCTTAGATAGGTATATTTTGCTTAAATAATTTTTTTCATACTGAATTCTATTGAGAGGGGAAAAAAAAAAACTAAACGATTAGTGTTTAACTTTTTTTAAAAAAAAAATCAACCCGTTTTTAGATTAGTCAAGACACGATGATATTGCTAAAACTTAACCTAACTAAAGAGTTGGGTCTACCAAAAGTTTGACTTACTATTTAATTTGAAATATTTCATTGCAATAACTTCAGACATTATTATGGAGTGGATGGGCGGGCAATGAACCCAACATATCCAAACGCTTTAAGATATTGGGTGTGAAAGCAAAAAAAAAAAAAAATTTCATGTTTCGTGACAATATCCTATGCTATAAATAGTGGTAGATGCTGGCTGAAAGGAAAACTCACCCCAAATTGAATACCTCTTTACTCAATATCTATTCTTCTCTCCCTCTCTTTCTCTCTACAAAGAAGATCCTATCTAACTGTAAGTAGTTGGGTAGACTCTACAACATCGGATTTGATAAGACTCTAACCTGACTTCTTTTTTGAATTATTATTTGGTTATAATATTCTTCAATAATCAAAATAAAAGATATAAGATTGACTAGATTATAATATCTATTTCCTAGGCCATTCAAATTTCATCCTCAACGTAAAAATTTAAAATTGATTAATATCATGATATCCAACTGTGTGTGAATGGATTTTGGTTGATTTGAAAAGTCTCATAAAAAAAATTACGTTAACATGTAATATATAATGAAATAGAATGATTCATAACTTAAGAATTAAAATTTTGAGTTAAAACATAGTTGATATAAAAAGTGACACATCGAGTAAGATAATTCAGTTTAATGATTGACCTAATTTCCTTATGAAATGCCTAGGCATCTCCTAGATGAAAGAATATTGATTGCCAAAGTCTCATTCTTCTAGGTATATGTAATGAAGAGGAAAAATTTTCTCGGTATCTCTTTGTGGTGCAAAAGAAAATGGTAAAGTCATTGCTTGTCTTTTGGGAATAATATATGTTATTTCTTAAAAACATATGGTGGTATAAATTTATGGGATTGTAAGTTATGGAACCAAACAACTACAGCAAAATTGTTATGGGCTATGAGGGAAAAAAAGAAGACACGTTATGGGTAAAATAGGTAAATAATGTGTATCTAAAAGGGAGAAACATGTGGACTTATATTTGTTCCTAGTGATATGAGTGGGTATTGGGAAAGCTAATGAATATAAGAAGCGAATTTGAGTAGGGATTCCAAAATCGTGGCTTGTGAAGCCCCTATGACACTTACATAGTTGTTGGGTACAAGTGGCTGCAAGGACATATCAAATTTGTGCAATCTCCCTTTTAGACAAATATAAATTACCAAAGCATTTCTTTTTTTATGATTGATCAAAAGAAAATGGGAGGATGATATTAAGGAATTAAAAGATTGAATTAAACTTAATGTGGATGAAAATATTTGGAAATAAAAAATGAGGACCAAAGATACTTTAGCGTGAATTGGTCTAAACGTTTGCTACTCTCATTTCATTATTTACAAACCATTTCTATTACAAAAATACCTTTTTGCACCTATATTTTACACCGGTTAGAAAAAAAACCAATGTAAAAGAAGAAGCGATGGAATTATCATAGATTTGATGGAAATTTAGAAGACTTTTCACGCCTGTTCCTTAAAGAACTAATGTGAAAAAAAAATTCAGACATTGTAAAAAGTGACAAAATTTATTTTTTGAAAAATATTTAAACTTTCTAAGCTGGTGGTCAAATTAATATATTTTTTCTTTAAAAAACAACAACTTTGCACACCGTGTATTTGAGTAATTCTAGTATGAAAAGCACTTTCGACACCGATTAAGTAAGTTAATCAGTGTTGAAAGACTTTTTAACATCATAATCCAAGCCATGAGTCGTCACACAATTGTGTTATCAAAACTAATTTTCTCATCACATCAAAACCTCTTGACACCCCCTCTTCCAAGTGTCTCTCTGCTCGTACTCGTGATCAATGGTGGACCTACATGAGTATGAGGGCATGCAAATATCCCCACTCACTTGAAAAAAAAAATTACATATTAACGTATGAAGAATTAAGTAAGTTATTCGGTGTAGAAAGATTTTTAACATCATAATCTAAGCCATGAGTCATCACACAATTGTGTTATCAAAACCAATTTTCTCATCCCATCAAAACATCTCGACACCCCCTCTTCCAAGTGTCTCTCTGCTCGTACTCGTGATCAATGGTGGACCTACATAAGTATGAGGGCATGCAAATATCCCCACTCACTTGAAAAAAAAAAATTACATATTAGCGTATGAAAATTTTGCACTTTGCCCCCACAAAATTTATGATCCCATTAAATTAAAATATTAATTAATCTTCCCTACTTGGAAAATATATTTCAATGGAGTATAAAATTTAAATATAGTTCTATATTTTGAATAGAGAAGTACAAATATAATTAGTTAATCAATTTTATCTAACTTAATCTTAAAGTTAAATATATTGTATTTAAATAATAAATTTTCAAATTTTTTTTAATAAAATTGCTTCCACTGACCAAAGATCCTCTGTGTGCCACTGCTTGTAAGACACTCTTATTGATATATTTTAGGGTTAAAATGCAAATTTATCTTTGAAATTTCTCACTATGTACAACAGGTATCTTTATTTTGCTCATTTACTTGAAACTAATTTCACATATATTACAACTTTGATGTAAACTGAAAATTTTAACATCAAATAATAATAATAATAATAATAATAATAATAATAATAATAATAGAATCGGTCCTTTGATCTAACAAAATAAATGATTCGAGCATGTGACAGTTGGTAAAGAACATTTTGGATTCATGTGGCCTTGAAGGAAATGATTGAAGTTGATAAAAGATGTGATTGGCTATAACATTTATAACAAACTATTTCTAAAAGATTTGGTGGCAGACATTGACAATCATAGGAAGGATGGACCGATGATTGTGTTGGTGAAGCTGAGAAAATAATTGACTCTTGTTTATTTCACATCTTTGATTCATTACAGCAACCTTCATACTTGGCCGGTGCAAGTGGAAAAAGTCAACTTAGAACATTTTTATTTCTTTTTGCATAGGATAAGAATTTGTTGAAAGTTAGTGATATTGGTCTGCTTGGTAGCTGCTTATAATGCAAGGTGTTTCAAAATGCAGAAGACCCAGTTAGTAACCACCTTAAATATAGTCAATCAAGTAATTAATTCTCTTGTAAGTTTTCTGATTCTATGTGAAGTTAAGAAACCTAGTAGATTATGAATCTACCTACTCTAAAAATAATTGGGATTATTATTTTTTTTTGTTATTGTGCATAGGTGTGTTTTATGAAAATAATTTCATTCAAGACACAATTATACACTAAATATAAATACATATTCTAAGATAAGTTTGAATTTTCATTTATCATATTATAAGGAATTAATCCCTGTTTTTAAACCTAATTTCCATTGTGGTAATTGGGATTACTGCTTGTTCGAGACGAATCTAGGGTTGGCGATACTTCTCACCCCCCCCCCTTGGATTTATATTTTCTATTGTAAAAAATGGTAAAATTAATTCTAGTCCCTCCATATTTTATATGTTTTGAAATTTTGCCCCCATATATGAAATTCTAGATTCCTCATTGATTACTTGAGTCTGTAATATTTCTACATTGGAAGATACTTAGTATTATAAGAGAATGGTATTAAAGTCCTCAAATAATAAATTAATGATAGTTAAGTTTACGATAAAAAAATTTCAAAAACTAAGCTGCAAACATTAATCAATATTTGCTATTTATTTTTCAGAAAGTTTTATCCAAAACCTAAGTATTATTAATTTCTTCTTTTAAGACTTAACTATCATTTTTTAGGATTATTGGTAATACTAACCGACACTAAATTTATTGTATAGTTTTTTCAACACACCATTACATGCTTTCCTAAGTGGTATGTCTTTTAGTTACTTAGAGGATAAAAAAAAGTGGAAAGAAAAAAATAAATGCCTTTAAGCACTAATAGAATGCTATATGTGATTAAAAGAGAATTTAGACATACCTATGGAAATGTTGTGTAGAGCTAGGGAAGTTATTGCTTGGAAAATTTTTCTTGTGATTATGGCGATGAGAGTTTTTGGCCTAGATCCAAGGTCATATATATATATATATATTGGCATTTAGGAACCACCAAAATTATGATTTTATTAGTTTCTAATGTTAAGGTTTAATTTTACCTCCACTCATTATCTTAAATTCCTTCTTGTAACAATATTATCCTTGACATTAAATGGACAAACATTAACTGTTAATTTTGTTGACTCAAAAAAAAAGGTGAGGCTCAAATTGTAACAATGATACCCTTAAAGTAATTAAATTGTATTATCCCTAACAATACATCTCAGTCAGCCAAATTAACATTCAATGTTCGCCCATTTAACATTAGGAACAAGATTGTTACATTTTAATTATTTTAAAGGCAACGTTGCTATAAGAAAGAGCTCCAAATATTGAGTGTTCCTACAGAAATAATTCAGCGACAAAATAAGGCATTAACCCTTGTTTTTAATGTAAAACCAATCATGCATTTCGTTGAATGGGACAAAGGATGGTGGTTGACCCCATAATCCTCAACTTTTTGATTGTTGGCTGGTAAAGGAGGGGGGGAAAAAACTCTTTGATTGTTCATCTCAAACTTTAGCCCCCTATTGATTGTTTTCTACAACATATATACGCGCGTTTGTGTGTATATGAATGCATAAATATACATTATCTAATTAAAATACTCGATCACCCCAAGAATAAAGTGAAATCATGCATGCAAGATTGCATTCAGATTTCATGTTAAACTATCCTCTTGCATGAGTGATGAGTCCCAACTCGAAAGATTGGATCGTAACATTACAAGTGTACTCACAATCATGCATGCATGCGCTGTGATATAATTCCATAAAAGATACGCCTGTGACCTCAATATTATGCAGCACATATCATCATTGATTATTTATATACATAAATGTCCAAATATAGATATCAAATAGAGTACACTTAAAATCAATTTTCTTCACGACATGTGTGTGTGTGTGTGTGTGTGTGTGTGTGCGCTGGCATCTCAGCATAGAATGCCATAGAAAGCTTCTAATTCCTTCTCTTCCCCTTGATTGCTCTAACAAGTTTAGTAGCCCATTGCCACTCAAGCCTTGCATGAGATACAATGTGAGACTGACAACTAAAGACCTCACAGGAAAATTAATATCAAATTAGGATCTTATCATAACTTGAGTTTCCAAATTCAGCATTCATTTTCCTATATCTTGACACTGAAAATCCTAAAAATTCTAATTTGGTATTAACTTTCTTGTGAGGTCCTTAGTTATCATTTTCCCGATATAGTTACCCAATCAAACTATCTGACTGAACAAATCTAAGCCTCGCTTGCTGCATATCATCAAACAGGAAAATACATCAGTTATTTTATGGAGAGTTAGACAGACATTTATATTGTGCAAATACATGAGTACACTGATACGATATGATAAATATATTGGATATGACAAATTTTAAAGTTTTAGCACATGGATATGACAAGAGAGGCATGCTACTTTATGTGTATTCAACAAATTAACACATGACAAATAAGTAACATGAAAAAGTTGAGTTTTAAACAACATATATAATTTAACAGTAAAATTAAATCTTTAATTTTTAATTCAAACAAAATGTCAATCTTCAGCTTTATTCATATAATTTAAGATTCACCATATGCTCCAGGGCTATTTTGGAGCATTCCAAACAAGGGAAGTTGAATAATACAAATGTTAGAATATGTTACACAAACATTGCAGTATGTGTATTGTATCAGCTATATATTCAATATAGTTATGTCCACTTTTTTGATGTAGCGGTGCAACATGTTCATGTTATCCGAAAATTATCTTTAAAAACAAAAAAACAAAAAAATTAAAGTCTGCGAGTAAGGAAAATAATACACCACCTACTCACCTGGACGAACAAGTTGTTCATAAAGAGCAACAATGTGTTTCCCATATGTGTATTTCTTCAAAGCATCTATATGATTTCTTATATGATTGAGAAGTATTTCCCGATGCCGGTCATTGCCTATATCAAGAAGTTTCTGGATCACGTAATTACCGAACTGGTCCTTCATCATTGTCTACATTATGCAACCCAGAAAATAAAGTCAATTAACAGAAAACAAGTCTGCTATCTTCTATTCAAGAATGTCCATTTCAAATAAATCAACCCAAAAATTTTACGCTACATTTGGATGTATAGAGACTTGGATTTGGATTTAAACCAAATCCACCATTTGGATCCATTAAATATATGGATTTGGATTTGATTCAAACTTAAATTCATATTTTAGTATAATTCCTTTGTGATTTCAAATCATTCTTACACCCTAGTTATTTGAAATACTAGCTATTCTAATCCTCTTATCTTTTGGCCAAAAAAACCCCTTATCTCTTACCATTTTCATTTCTCATCTCCCTTTATTTTTTATTGTCTTTGAATTTGAAAGTTTTTATATTATCCAAACAAATGATTTTAAAAACATGGGTTTTAGATGTGAGATGTTAAATCTAAAATCCAAATCCAATACATCAATCCAAACGCTATCTCAAAAATTTCCAACAATATAAGATATCTGAATGTGTTAATCAAGAATCTTGACATCAGGGAAAAGAGTAATGCCAGAATGAATACTAACCACCAACATGCAAAGAAAAATATGTGCAAGATCTATTATACAAAACAGAAATCTCAGCAACCTTACCGTGGACTAACATTTAACAAGTTAAAATCTAAAGAGTGACAATTTCAGCAACATGGTCATTTCTGTCTGAATTGATGGTTAATAAAAATTCCCACAATAAGCAGCAATAGACGAAAAAGAAACGGCACCGATTTACCCTTCCCCAAAGCTATTGACCAATAACTACAAATTATATACTACTTTAATAATCCGTCTGATGATCTGGCCATTGACCCAAATCAATGAGGAGATAACAACTCAGGCTCATACAAATTCATCAAGTCCAATGGCTAGAGTTACTTCATAGAATTAGCAAGCCAGGTGCAGAGTATATGTCAAAACTTAAATTCCCATTCAAAACCAAGAATAGTTTCTAACTTACATTATAGGCTGATGATCTACTTACCAATAAATTATGGTCTTCACCAGGCTGCCCAATAATTTCTGCAATCATGGCCTCTCGTTCAGTTGCATCACCATGCTCCAAACACTTCTCAATAACATTAGAAGCATACTTATGATGGCTCAATTGTACAATGCTGCCAGCTAATTTTCTTATAATTTGACCTCTTTCATTTTTCCCCCTTTTCAGTACGTGCTGTAGCAAATTCCATTCAAGCGTTAAATTTAGAGAGAATAAATAACTAGAGATAAACAAACAAAACAAAAGGAGAAAAGAAAAACAGAGATCTAGTGGATGATTAAATATTTCAGTAGTTATAGTATGACAATGACATTTCACTAGTCGATTTTTCATTACCATCTTACTCAGCCAATAAACTAATTCAACTGAGGAATATCACATTATCTGGATGTGCATCATGGCTTCAGTGATGAACTTCATCTTCCTTTGTCAATTTAATACAATAAGTGGACAGTAGCAGGTCAGATGAAAATCTTGAAAGCTAAAGATTTGCATCAATAGAAAAGAAATCTCATATATTTCAAAGTAAAACACGAGTAACTTATTCAAGGGAGAAAAGCATAACTGAAAATGCATAACTTCCAACCTGAGTCACGTAATTGCCGTACTGATCTTGAGAAAGGACACAAGCAGACTCCATAATTTCATCCACGATAAATTGAATACATTGCTCATCTGAACAATGCTCCAAAATTCTCTAACAAAGGCAGAAGAATACATAAATAATATTTGAAAGATTTCATACTGAGTAGAGCCTTCCACAGTAAAATGTGTACCATTACCTGAATAACACGACACCCATATGGGTGAACAGAAAGAGCCGGAACTTGCCCTTGAAATGCAGATATAATAAAGTGGATTTTGCCCACAGGAATGCATTCTATACATTTTTGTATGACATGATTGCCATTTTGATCGTGTACACATCTCATGACATGTCCATCAAGCTCTTGCACTAACAGTGTCTTCTGATCTAATTCAATAACTTCAAGGGCCTAAAACAAGGATCCCAAAATAGAACCAGAATCAACTGGAGATAAGCAAGAGGGGGAAAACATGCTCTAAAACATGCACCAACTAAACATATATAGAAGTGAATGACTGGTTAATCAGTGATATTGCTTTCAAGATATAAGAAATAGGTACATCATTAATTGTGAGGAAAGGTTGGTTAAAAACTGTTAAGTGTGCTAGATTTGCTTTAATTTTCTGTCTTTTATGCTAAGGGCAGGGCGGGCCTGGGCTAAAAGCTAAAAAATTGTGACAAAAAGAGGGAACGTGTGAAAGGAAAATTTACTGGAAACAATACATTTGAAACTACTAAAATTTAGGGTGAAAAGTTAGACCAGAAACATGATGAATGACAAGGCATGGACACAAACAAAACAAACTCATTAAGTCAATGGTGAGATAACTATAACATCACTATACAATAATAAACTTCAAGACTCCTAGTTAATATATTTAACACTCCCAACTCATTTACAAGACTTAAGCAAATCTCTCGCTCTCTCTCTCTCTCATGAACAAAATATCAAACTCCATTTGGGGAGAGATTTTGCCCTTTTTCTTTCACTTAATCATGAAGCACTTTCTATGCACTTTGACCTTTGTGCGAAGCCTTGGTGCCCTATAGAGATTGTTACTAACAAACAAAAATGAAAGAAACAAGAACGAAAACCCTTTTATTTGCACCAAAATCCTTCACCTTTATGAGCTCAACATACATCCAATATACAATTCATAAATAATAATAAAACAGATTTCTTAATTCATTTACGCAGTCACTTATGCTCTATACACATTAATCTCACTCTTCAATGATAAGAAAGTTTCTATTAGATTTACCAGATTGACAAGGCAATGGTTACAGTTAAGGGGAAAAAATTAAATTAACTTTCATATTATATACAGCTAGTTTGAAGGGCGTAAAGACAGATACGTAATGGATTCCAAATGCAATATGAGGAGAGGAAATTGATAATTATCATCATAAAGGTCCTAATATAACATAACGAAGATATCCATTGTCTTTATTTTGAGAGAAGAACTTGTTGATTGGGAAGCTTTAGAGTTTAGGGAGGAGGGAGGTAGAGGAAGAGAGGGAGAGTGTATATGCAACATAAAAGAGAGTTCACAAAATGGGCAAGTATAATGCAGGCCCCCATCATACAATAAAATAATGTTATCTTTAAGAACTATATTATGCGAGCAATTTTATCCAAAACTTCCTGAACCATTTGATCATGCATGCACATGTCTTAGTGATTCTCTTCGTCACATCCTATGGACCATGAGAAAGACAAATGTAAGATTAACTAAATCTCTTTGTATCCAAAGCATCCTATGGTATTGTCAAAATTTTCGCATCTAAGAAAAAGAATTATATCAGGAGTGGAGTAGTTCAGCAAGTAATGCAACATGGACGTGACAATTCCTGGACAAAAACTGGAAATTGTTAGTGAAAGCTAATATTCTTCAAGTTATACTCATAACTTGTCAGGGACACCAGTAGAGCACATCAGAGGGTAACAGGAAAATAATTCTTACAAGTACTTACTCAAGAAATCATCATACCTTCTGGATAACACGACAGCCATACATCTGCAAACTTAATGGTAAAATCTGTCCAGAAAGCTGATCTGCAAGGTTTTTTCGCTGATCAGGGCTTCCATGCTCAAAAAACTGCATTTAAGATAACTAAATTAGCACAATCATGTAAAGAATGTACACAAAGTGCATAAACAAATGTAAGACCAAATAGATGCAATAATTTAGGGGACACAGATTGTGGCAATATACCTTCTGAATTACATAATTGCCAAACACATCCGTCACTAATTTTGATGAATATGGAAGGATTTCTTCAAAAACAGATGCCTTCTCTTCAGCACTGCAGTTTTCAAGCTTCCGCTGGATAAATCGACTTCCATGTTGGTCAATACTAAACCAAGAAAACAATAAACAAATTATTTCCTCCTTGTAGAAGGGAAAATAGCACATACTGGAATTGACACACTAGAAAATACCTGAGTTCAACAACACGCCCAGCTAAATGAGAGAGTTTGAACTCCTTGTGATTGATGGATTTAAGTTCCTCTAGGAAAGACTGCTGCTTGGTTACACCAAAACCCTTAATTGCTCTCTGTCCAGGAGAAAATCCTGCATTTCTGACGGAAACATGAGGCATCTTCTTATCAATTTTTCCACCTAAAGGGTTAATTTTGCCAATTGATGATGATGGAGAAATTGAAACACCACAAGACAAAGGAGGACATTGCATCACAACACCCTTATTGGAGTTCCCATAATAACTACTACCAGAGATCCCCATATTTTTGTTACTTGGAATGGTCAAGCTACCATGTGCTGAAGATTGAAATTTATGACCATTTAAATAGGCAGGAACAGCTGCATCTTGATGGGAAGGTAGAGAACAAGCCAGTCCTCCAGTCAGTGATCTTGATGACAATTGACTCTGATGAAAAGCAGGGTACACATCACTGGAAGTGTGGGGAAAATATCGCATATTAATTGGATTAGCATATGAAGGCTGCATTGGTAACCCATATTGCCCACAAATCTTGCTGTGACTTTGAAAACCAGAAGCATGTGGAACACCGTCTCCTAATGGAGCATTGGTAGCTTGACCATTCAGGTCTTGGCTACCTGCAGCTTCAAATGGAAGAGGGTCTCCTTGTGAAGAATATCCAACCATATATGGGGCAACAGATGTAGAACCTAAAGCATACCCACCTAGACGATACTGTGGAGGGAGGAAACCTGAAGGCTGGATATCATGATAAAATGGGTTTCCTGAAGTCATAAATGCAGTTGGAGTTGCATAATAGGGACCAGTAAGTCCAGTAGAAGGCGATGACGATTGTATCCCAAGAGGTGAAAATTGTAAATTACTATACGCAAGCATTCCCAAGTAACTATGTGAATTGTTTATGCCTTGAGAAAATTGTGACCCCGTGACTTGAAGTTTATAAGCATAGTCAGACGTAAAAGATTGATTTAGCTTATTCCTACCATAAGATTGTTGTTGTTCTTGTCTTTCCCTTCTAACATCAGAGGCCCTCAATTTATGCTCCTCCAAATTTACAGCCCCATCTCTTGATACATAATCCTTCAGTAAAGCATCTTTGTTGTTTGTTGGACTTGGTTCCACTGACAGGTTTTGGGTTTCATCAGCATGCTGCAAACTTTGGAAGTTTAACAGAGAAACCTGATTGGATGTTAGCTCGCAAGCATCTGTGTTCAGAATGCCTGTCACCACAGCACCAGTAGAACATGTAGCTGAGTCTGGCTGGTTTGATAAATCTATTGAAGAAACACTTGAAGAAATTGCTTGCACATCAACATCAACTGAATCTTGAGTTGTAGCATGGCTTGATAAATGAGACTGGTTATATACAGGGGAAGGGGTACGGGGGAAGTCTTCCTAATAGACAACAAAAAGGTATGAAAGTCAGTGTGTAATAAGCAAAGAAAAATTTTAAAAAAACACTGTTCCACACCAAAGAAAATTTGTGAGAGACTCCAACAAGCTAGTAACATAATAAAAAATAATGAACATGAAAAAAAAAACCATTTTTAAAACATTCTAATGTTAAATTATAAAATATGAACTCAGGAACACTACAATGTGGAGTCTTGTGGACGGAAAACACAAGTGGAACCTTAAACCCAGACGAAAATAACAATAGACAAAAGGAAAAATTATAGGGAAAAAGGATTTATTTAATGTAGGTATATTTTACTAGTTTAATTTCAAAACTTTTGTCATTAGAAAGTAACATCCCTAAGAAGGCCTCAACAACTTTTGGCAACTGAATCATACCTGTATTAAATCCACCAAGCTTTTGTGAAGACTAGCTGATAGGACTGCATTATTCCCAGGGTTAGGCATGCTATTGGGATTGAACAGGCTTTCTGAAGCTAGCTTTGATGAACCTTTTATGTTGGCAGCCTCAATAGTATAAGGGTCAACCATGCCTCCATCATCTGAATCAGCAATGCCTTGATTTTTTTCATGATTGCTAAATTGATTAGGAAGCTTGGGATCCAAGTTGAGCTCCAACAAGCAACATGCAACATTAGAAGGATCAAATAGCTCTCCTTCAGACTTGTGATCCCCAAGAGCATTGCTCAATCTTCGTGAATTGGAAACCAGACTAGAATCCTTCACAGGTAACATATTGCCAACTGCTGCAACTGAGCCCTCCATACTAGGTGGAGCACTACCACTTCGATTAGGAGTGAAGTCTGCTTGGCATTGACTGAGCTTTTGTCCCTTCAAGAAAATGTCCAGTTCCTCTGTTGATTTATTTCTCCAGAAAGATCCAAATGCTGGAATATCCTTTGACGAAAGCCATTGACTAGTTTGGCTGCCTTCCACCATTCTCATGAGACTCTCAGTTGCCATCCTCTTTGTTAAAGTTCACCTTCCCAATTTCATCACAACCAGAGGTAGATCCTGTGAGATACAGCGAATAAAGGAAGTATTCAACAGACAATCCACAAATTTGGTCAAGCAAACATGAGGTTTTCAACTTGGCCTTGGCAAGACACTAAAAGATCAAAGTTGACAATCATATTGAAACAGCCTATAAGGAACAGAATGAATGTAGGAAGAGAGGCATTATTAACGGTTTCAAATTCCTCACAGTAAAAAGAATAAAAATAGAAAAATATATTGGGGGGTAAAAACCACTTCATATCACATCATGGAAGAGCAATAAAGCTATACTCAAATCTGAGCTGGGTGGATAACAGGCATATGATTTGCGGTACAAAGTCTACCCTGTTCTTGATAGATGGATTCTTGATTCGAGTATACTATAATGGAATGCGATTTCTATGTAAATTTTCTGTTTTTTGACTAAAGGGTCATATTGTAACAATAATAGAGAGGGGAAGCCATCTTTGATGTACTTTCAAAAAGCACAAGTTAAAGAAGTAAATAGCATAACTAGATGATGGGGACGCTGTTGATCAACCAATATTCAAGAAAGCAAACTATCTTAGGCACTCCCCCATAAAACAGATTTGAACATCAAACACTCCCATCAATCTCAAAATGAAACAAGGAAATGCTTCGTAGGGTGGAGAATATCAAAACGTAAGGCTATGGAGAACTTTAAAACACAATTCAGAAAGAATCAGCGTCATCACCAAACCGTTACAAGGAATAAGAATTTTGATCCACAGATGACGATTTCAGAGCATGAAATGAAAAGCTGATAAAATTGCTAAAAAAAAACCTCACCAGATGACAGTGTGAACCATGAAAATTGGAGGCAACCAATCAAAGACCTTCCAAGCCCTGCAAAGTTGCGGAAACAGCAGAGATAAAATATGATAAGAGTCTCAGAGAATTCCTTTTGGCAGAGAAACAAATGTCACACAGCAAAACTAAAACGGTAAAACACTTGAAACCCCACTGAAGTAGTGTTCCAAGGGTTTGGACTTGATAAAATTTCAGAATTACTTTTGCAGAACCAAATAAATACCCCAACGCTTGGTAAAGGGGAAGAGATTCTCTAACAAATTAACAATTGATAAAACTTTTATGGCAATAAATAGCTATTATGAAATTTACATGAACCTTTGAGACAAATTACATTATGCACCGCTTATGTTAATCGGCTTCTTACATTTCTCAATACTTACATTGATGTCAATTTTAATTTTGAAATCAAGAAAACTTTAAAATTCATTGAATATATCTATAAATTTTATAAATTTTTAACTTTATCTATATTAAATATATATATATATATATATAAATGATATATATATTTTCACTAACCTTTAATGAAGGGTAAAATGAAAAGTCTATAATAAAAATTAAATAATATAACTTATAAATATGAGAGAAAAATTTCATCCCTTTCCCTTATAAATAAAACTGAAGGAAGTAAAATTTGTAACATACTCCTCCAGGTCTATTTATAAATCATTTATATCAACCTTATTAATATTAATACAATAAAAATACAAGAAAAAAAAATTAATGAAATTCCAAACATAATTCACAAAACTAAATAAACTATATAATATTATTTTTTTATCTCTCTCTATCTTATTTTTTTAAAGGTAGTTTAGACATTTCATTTAAAATAAAACATCATTATCAATCTAATAACTTATAAACTGGACCAATTAACCCTTCTAGAAGGTAACTAATAAAATAGATTGAAGGGAGTATTCTTGTGTGTGTGTGTGTAATTTTTTTTCCTAATATATATATATATATATATATATAATTTACTCTTTAGACTTTTGCAAGTTGTATAAATTGAATTATCAAATCAAAGTATAAATTTTTAGAATTAACAATAGCATGCTATTTGTCATGAGTTTTATATTAAGGGACCTCACAAATGGTGTGGATTTTATAAATTTAAGAGACTCTCCTACCCAACAAACTTGCTCATTATATTGGTGTTTTCATTGAGAGGTCAATATCATGAAAAAGGCTACCTACAGAGAGCACTTCACTTAGCCTTCTACCGGTCAGAACCTCTTGTGAGTAGCTTTTTTCGTGACACCAACCTTTCAATGAAAGTATCAATGTGACAAACACAAGTCTAAAGGGAGAGCTCATCTCAAAATACTAGTCTGTTGGGTAAAAGAGTCTCTTTAATTTATAAACTCCACACAACTTGTGAGGCTCCCCGATATAAATCTCATGAAATTGCCACTATATTGAGAGCCTTTTACTAGCCAGAGTCTTCCGTGGATAGCTCTTTCCGTGATACCGACCTCTCAATGAAAGCTCCACTATAACGAGCACAAACCCAAAAGAAGAACCCATCCTAAAAAACTAACTTGTTAGGTAAGAGAATTCTTGAACTTATAAACACCACAATACTTGTGAGGCTCTCCAATGTGAAAGCTGTGACAATGTCACCCCATCGAGAGCCGACATCCCCAATAACTCTACTCCATGACAATTTCACTCAATTTTTTACTGGTCAAAACCCTCCATGGATAACCCTATTCGTGACACCGGCCTCTTAATGAAAGTATTAATGTCACAATTACAAGCCCTCCGATAAAACTTACGCCCAAAAGGCACCTTATAGGTGAAAAGTATCTAACTGATTTATAAACCACACTCCACCAATATGACTTCTCAATGTAAAACTCATAACACTATCCTTTTTAGATAACATACTTGTCTTTCTTTAAGAAATAATCATGTTTGAAACATAGTCAAATATTAAATATGAAAATCTCTTTTAGTGAATATTCTAAGGTTCGCCGTGCAATGAGGAGTTAACTCTTTCCATTATATCATATCTTGTTGATATTAGTTGGCTATGCTTAATCATGTATAATAGCACTATGACTAACATGACATTGATCAAATTTTATATATCTAAAGTAATCTATGTAGTCAATCTGCTATAGTTTTTACAATTTTCAAGATTCTTAGATTACTTTATCAAAACCATGTTTTGATTTAGATCAACAAATTTCTATATACAAACTATTACAATAAAACTTGTTATTGTCAAGTTTCAGCAATATATGTATCGGAGAAAGAGGAAACCCCTTTTTTTTTTTGACCGCCGGAGCAAGAGGGAACTTTATGAGGTTTTAATATTGCCTTGGGCTAAAGGAGGGGGAGAAAAAGGTTTTAACATTCTCAAATAATTAATTGGATTGAGCTTGTGAGCTTTTAATATTTGAAAAACAATAACTTTAAAAAAATGTGTGTATGGGGCAAGTGAATTAAATTTAAAAATTAAAATTAGTCTCTAGTCCTATTTATATGATAAATATAGTATATTTATGTTGTTCCTATTTATAAAATACCTCTATTATTTATGTTCATCTTTATTTTTTTACCCTTATTAAATGTTAAAAATTAAAAAGATTATTAAATGTTGAGATATTTTACTTTTAAAGTGTATATATTTAATAGGAATAAAGTTTGAAACTTGTTGACGATGAAATATGCTAAAAATAACTTATAAATAGAATCATAAAGAATATGTTAATATCACAACAAGAGAATGACTAATCAATGTTCTCAAATTACTCCATATCAAATTACTTACCAAACAAATAGGTCAAACGGTTAGCTCACAAAATCATATTTTGATTCAATCCAAAATATTTCTAGAACTGACCTAATTTAAGACAAATCAAATCAATGAAAAGAAATCAAAATTAAATTAAAGCCTATAAAAATTATTTGAGTCATTAAAAAATAATAAAATACAATGACTTCCCTTCTATTTTGTTAAAATTATAGAAATATCTTCTCTATTTTCACAACCTATACTCTAGTCTAATTTTTAACACTGTTAGGAATATTTTATTAAATATTCTAAAATACTTAATTTTTATTTGTAATTATGCTAAAAATGTTAAAATTATTAATTTGATCTCATGATCTAATTGTTTACTCTCTCTCAATTTGAAACAATTAAAATAATTTAGTATGTTAACATTTAAATAAATACTTTAAAGATTTTGTGTTAAAATTAATGAAACTTAAAGAAAAATAAACATAAATTTTATTGAATAATTTATTATATTAAATATTCATTTCAATAAATTTTTTTAACTCTGTTTGAATATTTCTTTTCCAATTTATATATTTAATTTTTAAAAAAATTACTAAATAAATACATTTACAAAAAAAAATTATAAATTAAAAATAAAAAATGTACACAGTAATCTTTTGAATAATTTTTAGATAACATTTATATTCAAAGAGAGGGTAGTTTAATTCAACATACATGATTTAACGATCAATTAACAATTGAGTAAATAAAAATAAAATTTTAAAAATAAAAAATATGCTTGTATTTTATAACTACTAATACTAGAAGAGGTTTGTATATGTTTCAAAAATAAAAGAGATGTATTTATAATTAAAAAAACAGAGAGGAAGTAAAGTAAGAATATTTTACACCAAAAAAAATTGATTTCTTGTCTTTTTTTATATTTTTTTACAATAATTTATAATATAAAAATTGAAATCATATTAATGTCACTATCAATTAGATTATTATTCAACTACCACCAAACCTATTACCTTTATATTGATAGTCAAGATTTAGAAACTTTACACGGTGACTCACAATTAAAAAAAATCGAAGGGCTTGTGGTTGGCCAACACACAGCAGGCATGCTTCGTGTATAAAGCATATAAGGCAAAGGCCATTTTTTGAAAGAGACATTTCCAATGCTTTTGGACTTAAAGCCACCCCACATATGTCCATCCTGACCGTTGCTCCAAGAAGCTCAGATTTCAGCTCAAACAAATCACAATGGCCATTTTTCTAACATGTAAAGGTAACGAAAAACCAGACCAAGAGAATCAATCAAGGCATTGATTCAAAAATTAATAATCTTAATCTTTATCAAACTTTAGTCAAACCCAATCATGAAAAAAAATTTTATTAAATCAATTAACACACTAGTTCAATAATTTACCGGTTCAATCAATTGGTTGACCAGTTTTTAAGAATATGATACCAAAAGATAAACACACAAGAATCTAGAAAGCTCATCACCCAACCAATTGAAAAATAACACATTGCAGATAGCATATATATTGCTTCAACTACGTATCTGATACAAAACAAGAACATTGTTATTAGCAGGGGAAGAGGATGGGACTTGTGTCTCTCTCTAACCTATTGTGTGTCACATTTAGTTTCTTCATTTTTTCTTCACACCAAAACAGTTGTTCTTTTGTTATCCTCGTCATTCTCATAACCCTTGATAGGATTTTGATGTCTATGAGACCCATTAATAGCTGGATATCCTCCTGTTTTCCAGGCCACGACCATTTCTTCCAACCTTTCTTCTTTCTCCGCAATTCCTTCAGCTTCATTGCTTTCTGCATCGACAAGAAGGAAAAAAAAAAGGGTTAAGATTGATGAATCATATGGAATGTAAGAAAACAAGAGGAGACTGATAATAGAGCTAGAAATATGAACCAACCTAGACCAGATGAGTTGGCTCATGTGAGTTGGAAAAAATATGGTTTGGGTTGGGTCCAACCCATTTTCATATGAGTTGGAAAAATTTCAACCCAAACCAACTCAATCCTTGTAACATGTTATTGGGCCAATCCATATAAATTGACCCATATTTACAACTCCACTGATAAGGTCAATTAGATTGTCAGTCAGCTTGCCCGGTTCATTAATCATGGTTATAATCTGAAAAGTTGGATTAAAAGTGCATATGAATTACCTTCTCAAGGCTAGACTGAACTTGTTGTAGATGAGTTGCAAGCTGGTTTTGATTTCCCAAAGGGTTAATAGCTCCGCTTGGCTTTTTCTTGTCCCTTTTCAGGAAAAGTTGGAATGTAAGGATTGAGTTTTCCATTATCCTGATAAGATCAGGAGCAAGAACTCTCATGTCTGAATCATCTTCTGTTGACCCTTGATCTGAACCTGAATAGAGATGTATGAAGCTGAGCACTTAGTCATACAGAAATGAACATTAAGAGACATGAACACTAGAACTACAATCAGCAACCAGTAAACAGTTTCTGGCAATCCGATTAAATGCAAGCGATTCAAGGATCGCTCACCTTTAACGTTAGGAACGTGAAGCAGTTTAGGCAGAGTGTTCCTCATACGGGCATAAATTTCAGCTCTAAGGCCCTTCTCAAAAGGTTCATTCTCAATAAACCTTTGCAGCAGAACCTGGAACTGTTGAAACTGCTGAGCACTGTGGTTGTAACAGATAGGATTTTCAGATTGCCATGACATCTTCTGGCACATTTGAGAGTATTGACACTGAAGTGCCTCCCAAGTCAAGCACACCTGACCAACATATGCTGTTTCAAGATCCTGGTAGGGATCATTTCGAAGCTGTTGAAGATGTTCGGTTTCGTCATCCATTTCTCCAAATTGTTTCGAGGAAAGACACCGGAGTGGGTATGCCAGCCTCTTCGATGCAGATCTAGGAGACTGATTTGAAGGGTACTGGGAGCCTAAGGCAGTGAGGATGCAACACATCACAAGACAAGAAATGTACAAATGATCAGCAAAAATAATTAGGAAGTAAAGTCTCTCAAAATATTCAATTCGACTAACTCTGCACTTTTTTTGGTGGGTGTTTATCAAAGAATAGTCATGTAAAGCTCAACCTTCCTTATGTTATATTATAAACCACGCATGTCAAACTGGGGGACTGATAGAGCTCATGATTTTACTAAGACCTATAAGAGGAAATCAATGAAGGCAATGAGCTTAGAAGAAAACATAATTGTTGGTTCAGATGTTTGCCCTCTGGATGCTGGTTATAAGGAAAAGTAATCGATGGTCTAGTGATGTGTTAGATCCCTAGTGATGTGTTAGTCTTCTAGGGGTAATGGTTGTGTTAGAGTCACTTTTTGGGTCTTTAAATCTTCCTCCTTGCCAAGAGAGAGGGGGTGGATTATTTTGAATATTGAGAGTGGTGAGGAGAGCTCTAGCCTCTCGAATGCCAGGTTGGAGGTGGAGGAAGTCATCTTTCTTCATCATTTTAGCTTCTGCTTAGTGTGTGTTTGTAAGTGAGTGACTTATATTTTGTAATTGTTGTTTGGTGGAGTGTATTTTGTGCTGTTTCTGTTTCAGTACGCTGTAATTTTCAGTTCCTTAATTCGCTGTAATCCAACTTTGCTATTCGGTAATAGTAATTTTCAGTCCCCATTTGTGGTGTAGTTTCTGGTTTATGCTCGTTTAAAGCTTATTAGAATAGAGGGTTCCATCAGGGACACAATTGTTCCACTAGTTTACAGCAGTTAGATCAATTCGAAAAAATAGAGGCTATGCTTCGCTTTGGGATATGCCTACAAGATATTTTCTTAGGGTTGATATGAACTTCCCTAAAAACATTAATAAGACTAAACATTCTCTCAGGCATTGCTCTAGTCATGAGGCACCCAAAGAAGGTAGTCTGCAATCTGCACCTAATTGAACCTGAAACTGAAGTAAACCTTCCTAATCATTGGTAGTATCAAGATATTAAGGATACAGATAGAGGAAAATAAACAAGCTAATACATTTTTCACACATCTGATGTATATACTATAATAGAGTCAGATTCAAACATTGTAGTATCTAGATATTAAGGATATAGATAAAGGAAACTAAGCAAATTTATGTCTCCGGCAATGAACAGAAAACAGAAACTAACATACCTTTGGCAACTTCATTAAGCTGTTGGGTGCTCAAACGATCAAAGAAGAGCATTCTTTCACAGTACTTTTCAAACACTGCATCAAAACCGCGCCACCATTGTTGGCCTTCTGCTTCCACATCCCTCCATTCATTAGAGCATGTCTCTCCCTCTCCTTCATCATCCTCCTCATATGACTCTTCTTCTTCAGGAATCAACACCATGAAACTGTTTCTTCTCAATTCTTTCAGCCTCCTCTTTACTTCATTGGTGATAAAATCATCGTCATCATCCTCAGCTTCTGCTGCAGCATCTGAATTTGCTGATTTACACTGATCATCACCACCATTCTCAGGCTGTGCTTCCTCTGGTTCTGGCAGAGGCTCCTCTGATATACACTTCTGTCCACCTGCCTTCTGAGGTATTCTCAACTTCACTTTGAAAAAATTCATGCTCAATCCTAATCACTTTCTCTTTGAAAGATAATGAGTCTCTTTTAAAGTAAAACCTACAGTTACGTCAAAAGTACAGAAAGTGAGTGACTACGCCGAAGAAGATTTAAACTGATTTTATTTTCAAACTCTGATTCTTCTGTAAAAAGATTTTAACAGAACGAATATTTTGCGGGGGCCGTTAAAATTTAAAAAGAAAACAGAAAGTGAGTGATTCGACAAGAAACCACGGGATCTATACCAAGTTCCCAAATTCTGAACTGTCCCCAATACAAAAAACTAGTGATCTGCCAGCCCGGGAAGCAAATATAAAGAAAGATCACTACTTTCTCTGGGGAAAAATTTTTCTCCGAATGCACAATGTACTCTCCAAAGCTTATAAAAAGAAAGACTATGAACAGAAAGTACTTTCAGGAGTATCGAAATATTGAATCTGATGCCTTTTGGAAAAATGTGCAGAGGATGGAAGGTTTATCTATGGCGTAACAGGAGCAGCATTTAATGAGATCAGAACCACCGTCAATGTTTGTAGGTTCTTGCTACCTTAAAGCGCTTAAAGTCACTTGCTTGGCAACATTGAACAAGAAACACCAAAAGGGAATCTTTCTGAACATAGAAGCAGCACCGACATTGAAGAAGAGTAATGAGATGACGACGACCAAAGACACTATTCGCCAACTGGTTTTTGTTTTGCTCCAACAGTTTCTGAGGAAATACGCAGATTCTGAATGAAATAGAAAGGAAAAAGAAAACAAAAAGCACATGCAATCCAGAAATGAGATACCCAACAAACCGATCGTAAATGAGGCAGTCGCTCCAGATGGTCAGTCCTGGTATCAACACCTGGCTAGTATATTGTTAAAACCTGCACCAACCTGTGGAACTCCCAAAGATAACAACTTAAAGTTCTGAGAAATGTGACATCTCAGAAAACCCAGAGCTGAAGAAAGCAAATTTTGCAAGAGAGATCCTCGAGTAGAGAGAGAGAGAGAGAGCGCGCCGTGAGTGCTGGGAAAAGTTAAGCAAAAAAATGCAATAAATGGCAGCACCGGGCAGGTGGCACGCTGATTGCTCCGTCCGATTATCCATTTTTTTATTTGAAGAAACAGTATATTTGGCGTTAAAATGGTTTTTCAGAAGAAAAAAATTGAATTTCTTCCAAGACGCAATCAGAGAAGTCAAGAGTGGGTAGAGGACAAGAGACTGTGTCATCGTACAGAGAATACGATCAGGAGCCAGAAAAAGAGTGTGGGAGGGTAACTTGGTCTGGATTGATGAAAAAATTTAAAAATATATATACAAAGAAAAAAATTCAAAAATGATAAAAGTTTTTTTTCCTTAATTTTCTTTTTTCATTCTTTTTGTTATCAACTCGTCAAGTTAAAGGACCAAAGCGATTAAAACAAATAAAAAAAATTAGTCTTTCATTTGAATTTATTTAAAAGAAATATTTATATTTAATATTCAAGCAAATCTCAAATAGAATAATAGAATATCTTAAGCTTTTTGACCCCAAAAAAAAAACTCATCAGGAAAAAGATTTAATTTTAATTTACAAAACCCGGGAAGCAAATCACGAAACGATAAAGCTCTTCCGTAACAGGAAACGCATGTAGTAACCACCGATTAGACTACGTTGGAAAAGTTGAACAAATATAATTCTCCATAATAAATTAATAATATCTCTTGAAGTTAATGTTAAACTCTCCTTCCCCAAAAAACACTCCTCGTCTTATTAAGAAGGAAAAAAAAAATTAATTTTAATTTTATTTGTAAGGTATTTCCAATTTTATATTTATTTTTATCTTTTTACTTTTATTAAATGTTAAAAAATCCTTTTTAGGGATATAGGTGAAAAGTTGTTAAATTTTAATATATGATTATGGGATTTAAGATTTTTTTTAATTTCAATAATATATATTAAAAGTGATTTAAAAATAGAATATAAAAATATAAAAGCATTTTAATTCGGTTAGAAAAAAAGAAATGGCTTTTTTATGAAATTGGAATAACATTCAAATTGAAATGAGAATTGGTATATACTTAAATTTATGAGAATGGAATTATAATTAAAAGACAAAGATAACCCTCAAAAGTTATTAAATTAAAATTAAAATAAAAATAAATTAAATAAGTTAAATGTGTTTTCCTTATCCATTTTGTATATAAATGAAATATTATAGATAATAGATGTTATACATAAGTAATATGTGCGTGTAAGTAAATTGGGAGAATAATAAAAAAAATACTCTCAAAAAATATAAATAACAATTAAGTCTCCCAAATATAATTATTATTATTTAGTCCTGAGGAATTTGGCTTGCATTTTGATTTTTAAGGAAATAATATATTTGTCTTCAGTGACTATTATGTGTGGGGAAATAACTAGTTTAATTAGGCTATTGACAAAAATAAAATAGAAAATGATCATTTTGTTTTTGAAAATATGTTTACAAGTCAAGTGCAAATACTAAAAACAAGTGAATATTATACGTTAGGAAATAATTATTTTGGTTAGGCTATTAACCAAAATGGAATAGAAAATGACTGCTCAATTCCTTTCAATAAATTTATGATTTATAAATAGATTATAATAATTACTTTCTAAAAATGAAGATTTTCTTTATGAAAATGATTACTTTAGTTGCATTTGATTGATAAATAAATTTGTACAAAAAAAAGTCATTTTCCATTACATTTTAGTCAATAACTCAATCAAAGTAATCATTCTCAATGCATAATATTCACTAGAGGCAAATATGTTATTTCATCAAAAATCAAAATGATAAATAAGTTTCTAATCTCGTTTGATTACTAAAAAAAAATAGAATAAAATAGATTAAAAAATAAGACAAAAATGAGCTAAATTACTTTTTTTCCATTGTAAGTATGATAAAATTTATTAATTTATATTATAAATGCGGATAGAATTGGGAACACAAGCCCAACCAGTTGGCCCGGCTTGTTTAAGCCCATTTAACAAGAGTGTTGGGCTTACAATTAGGACCCTTTAAATATAATTCAAGTTTAAATGGGTTGGCCCTAATGGGCTAAAAAATAAACGAGCTGGCCCTAAAAGATCGAGGGCCAGCTCGTTTAAACTTGTGTAACTTTTTTTTTATATTCAAATGATTAACTTTTAATAAACTCTTGGACTTGAAAAAAAAATTAAGCATGATTTATCTATACATGTTAGCCCATTTCTACAAGGAAGAAAAAACATTCAAAAAATAATAACTAACTCTAAATCCCTAACTTCACTCTTCAAACTACATTCCACCGATTTTGCTCCTCTACGATTTATTTCTTGTTCATATTAGTTGTGCTCGTCTCTTATCATTCCTCTTTATCAACAAAATCTCCCAAATCCCAACAGTGTTCCTCCGTTTGCAACCATGCTTCATTTTGCTCCTCCATCTGTGACAATGCTTTGCCAAGCTCAAAGACTCAAACAACATCTCTCAAGTCCTCCGCTTGCTTGAACTGAACCCTAGTCTGATTTGCTTTTCCTTATTCTTCCCTCATTTTTAATTTTGCTCTGAGTCAGACTTGTGTCTCATTTATGTCTATGGTTTATCTCATATGGGCATTCTGATGCTATCATTTCGTTTGAGCTTATGGTTTATTTAGTTGTTTTATTTTGATTGCTATCATTTCATTTATTAATATGGTTGTACTTTTGATCTATATACTAGTATGGGATTTTTGAATTGTGAAATAAAATGGAGTATTACTATTTAATTTGATAAAAAAATTTAATAGAAAAAATAAAAAATAGGTAACAAGGCTTAAAACCTGCAGGGCCGACCTTGAGCCCGTTATTTCAAGAGCCGAGCCCTACAATTTAGTATCTCAAAAGAAAAACAGGCTTTTTAAGCCCATCCCATCAAGGGCTGGCTCTCTAGAGCCGAGCTGGCCTTTTTCTCAGCTCTAAATGTGAGAATCATCATATCTTTTAAAAATTTTATGAATTATAATTTTTAATTTCATGAATTAAATTATCGTTTCTACTTATGAATGTATTTTTTTTATTCCTTTTAATCATCTTATTTTTATCTTTATTTTTTCAATACATTATATTCTAATAAGCAAACGAGACTTTTATGAACTAAATAATAACTATTACATTTCACGATACTTAATTATTATTTACATATTTCAACAATATTTTTTGTCACTTTCCCAAGTAACTTTGTCTTTGTAAATTTGTGATGAGGAAAAAATTGTCATGAAAAAACAAAGTAATTCTATAAAATTGTTGTTAATTTTGTACATATACGTGAAGAAGTCCATTCTGGCTTTTGTCCTAGAATCAAGGTCCTTGGGAGTTTTTACTCACATGTAAAGTATCATTTTATTTGGATTCTTACACTAATTTCAATTTCATGTTTAAAACTCCACTCCCTCCATTTCTATTTATAAAAAATCTTTTAAAATTTTTTTATTTCTAAATATAAAGGGTTGTTAGCATTTTTTTATGAATAGACCATTATACCCTTATTAAATTAAAAAGAAAAAAATAAGTACTCTCATTAATTTATTTTGAAAAAAGAAAATTATTTTTTATTTACAATAATTAAGGACAAAATTAAAATATTATTATGTTTTTAATTAAATAACTAATTTTTATTAATTTATGTGATTCGATTAAAAATATTTTATATAGAGCGATAAAGAGGGTGTTCTGTATATGACAAGTCTTGGTGCTTGTTGGGAGATGGTTTCCCTCTGCTCCCCCTCTTCTCTCAAAGTTGGTTTCCCCTCCCATCCCATCCCAATCCCTCCCTCCTCCTACCCCGTTTCTACATTCCCCACCTTTAAGATTTCAATTTTTTTTTCCTTAAGGTATTTCACAGCTATCAATCATGATATTAATTTTTCAATGAATTTAATGGCTATTTAAGTGATTGTCCTCTCTCAAAATATGCTTTACACACACACGCTATACATACAAGAGTCGAACTCTGTGGAATAACGTTCAAGGGATTCAGATAATTACCATCCATGCCACTACCACTTGGTTTTTAAATTACAATTTTAATGGTTGAGACCTGGGATACAATATATTATTATTATACTATTAAATTAAAATTTGATCTAAATAGTTTAAAAATGCTGTGGAAAAATTAGAAAAGCTTATTTTATAAAATATTTTTATTACAATTCTAAATTGTTAAAATCAAATTTTAACCACTTAAATTTATTTATTTATCATTTAATACAGTTTATAATTTTATAATATATTAAATTTCAACCATTGAAATATTGAAATCTAAGGGTGGGAAAGGATGGAGAAAAGATTAGCAGGAGGAGATAAGCTAACTCGTATTTTACTTTGGGTGTTTTATGGGCTATGGCAGTTATATGATTAAACTATATAACCTTTAGTCGCGTCAAGCTTGCTAAAATACTTAAAACCAACGTCATTCCGTTTTAGTAAGTTTTTAACTCTTCCATGATATGAGCTTATCGATAACCCATGATTGGGACCAGCCAATAAAGCAAAACTAATGACACTGTGTTAAGATGACCCGTTTGCTGGATGAAGAGATATGGAAACGTGGCACAGGAACTTTGGAGTGTTTTCGATTGATTAAGAGAATAGAATCAGCTTATCTTGAGATTTTTAAGTTCAAGTCATGAAATATGAAACTACATTAAATAAAAATATTAAAAACATTTTCGAGATATCCATTAAATCGTTATTGATAATAATAATTTCACATAGTGAGAGCCTAAATTAACTTAAACGAGAGTTAGTAATGCTTTAAAAATTCCCTAAATGCCAAATGATGGAATTTTATTTTAAAAAATAACATGGCACAAGCTGTGGTTGATGCAAGGCTATTGAGGCCATTGCCTTAGGACTCAGAAAGATGTTTTCATACAGTTGCAGAGCCAAGACCTTGAGTTAGGGAGTGCAAGACAATACAATTTAAAAATAAATAATTAAAAAAATAATATTTTAATTTTTTAAAAATTAATTACATTAGGCAAAAAATATAT